TATATATATATATATATATAGAATTGGTAGCTGAATTTGTATGTGATTCAGGGACAAGTTGTGAAGAAGGACTTTAATATAGAAGATGTGGTTGGAATACAAATGCCACTTGTTCTACCCTTCAATGCAAGTGTGACAAATAACATCTTAGAGATACGCTTTTATTGGGCTGGTAAAGGGACAACACGTTTTCCCAAAAGAGGACGTTATGGGCCCCTTGTATCAGCTATCTCTGTTAACCCATGTGAGTAAATCCTATCTGTTTAATGAAAGCATTTTGGAAACCAGTTTCTTACAGACTACTGAACATTTACAATAAATGAAATGTTATTCATTGTGAAGCAATTTATAATAGACTTTTGCATTGTTGATATTCTTGTGTGATTTATTACTTTTGTGTTTATTAGTGAACTTTTTTGTGTGCAGATTCTAAAATTTGTTCAATTCCTGGGAAGAAGACAGAAAAAATTAAGTATGTTGGTTTTGCAATTGCGGGGCTGTGTCTTGTGTTGATAATCTTGGCTGTTTTGTGGTGGAAAAGGTCTCCAAAAGAAAGAAAAAGGAATTATAAAGGTGTGAATTGATTTACTTTGTTCTTTATATTGGATAGAATTGGAATGTCCTGTGTAACAATAACAGTAATATAAATGCTATCTTTGTTTATGTAAATGATCCATTGCATACTCTCTTAAGCAGATTTTGAAGGGGTGGAGTTGAAAACAGTATCGTTCTCTTATAAACAACTAAACACTGCTACAAACAACTTCAATGCTTCACACAAAATTGGAGAAGGGGGATTCGGACCTGTTTTCAAGGCAATAATCTTTCAAAACACCGTGGATTTGTGGTGTTATTTATCATCGTGTATTACAGTTTTTGTCCAAAAAAGAATCGTTTTACATTTTCAATCCTTATTTCACTGTTTGTTTAACCTTTTTGTACCTGACTTTAACGCCATTTAAAAAAGATTATTGCGTCCATGTAAAATGACCATTTTGCCCTCACTTTCGTCCTATCTTTAGAAAATTGGTCCAAATGGTTATTTTACATGGACGTAACATAACACCTATTTTTAAACGGATTTGAAGTCGGGGGAATTTTTTTTAAAGATTCAGTGATATAGGGATGAAAAATCCCCAAAAAAATGATATAACACAGGGACTAAAACTGTAATTTACTCTATGATGCAGGGTACGTTACGTGATGGCACTGTAGTTGCTGTAAAACAACTTTCCTCTCGTTCAAAGCAAGGAAATCGTGAGTTTTTAACAGAAATTGGTGTGATATCGTGCTTACAACACCCAAATCTTGTGAAGCTTTATGGATGCTGTGTTGAAGAAGATCAATTGTTGCTAGTATACGAGTATCTGGAAAACAATAGCCTTGCAAATGCTCTATTTGGTGAGTCTTTTATCTTAGAATAACCATATTGTCTGTTTAGAATGAACAGTTTTCCCATTACCTGGTTTTCATTTTCATATAATGACAAAATACAGAAAAGCAAAACGTTCTTTTATCATCTTATGGTTTTAGCCACTTGTTTCTTTTTGACTTAATGGACTTAATGCATAAAATACTTAATGGGTTCAGGTATACCCTCCAATTATGAAACTTATAGTAATGGTCCTAAAAGTAACAAATATTACAATATTATAATGGTAAGAGAGAACCAATCCACTTTCACTCCTTATCATAATGGTTCTAAACACTTGTATGCAATTAATTTTTCTATCTTGCTCAACCAGTTAGTAAATTTCAAAATTTAGCAGATACTTTTGTCATCATATTGTATTGTTTGTGAAATCAATCATCTTGGAAAATCCAACTTTTACGTATTATAAGATAATTGTGTGCATTTTGACATATGATAGATGTTATAGAATGGGTATGATAATGTTTCAAAACGATTGGAAAGCTACAAAGGAGGGTTATTTATCAAAAAAAAAAGTCTAACATGTGTGATGAAATTGCTAATCTACTATAACACATATTTGGATTTAATCATATTATTTGAACTTATTTAATAAAAAAAGTCTGAATCCATGGATACACATGGATGTGCCAATTTTTCACGGGTGTTAGATGCACCTTTTAGGTAACCCAAACTTTTGCAGGTATTTGTGTAACTTAAATTTAAAGTAACATTAATCAATGGTAACATCACTTTTTATTGCTTTATTCTTGCTCCCAATTTTGATTGCTTTATTTGCTATTACTCAAGATGTTACATATCTTCAGGTTCGAGTAAAAGTAGTTTAATGTTGGATTGGGCAACAAGGTTTAAGATTTGTGTTGGAATTGCTAGAGGTTTAGCTTTTCTTCATGAAGAATCGAGGCTAAAAATTGTTCATAGGGACATCAAAGCTACTAATGTCCTTCTTGATAAAGATCTTAATCCAAAAATATCAGACTTTGGATTGGCTAGGCTAGATGAGGATGAACATACTCATGTCAGCACACGAGTAGCTGGAACAATGTAATTCTTTCTCTTCCTTAAAGATGGCTTAAATGCAAAACAAAACATGGTTCTTGAATCTTGAATTTTTTTTTGCAGAGGATACATGGCACCAGAATACGCACTTTGGGGTCACTTGAGTGACAAGGCGGATGTATACAGCTTTGGAGTTGTGGCTTTGGAAATTGTGAGTGGAAAGAACAACAATAAATACATACCAAACAACGATAGTGTTTGTCTTCTAGAATGGGTACTATTCCATAACCCTACCTATCTTCACTTTTTGGTTTTGGAAAATCGCAATAATTTTGGTTTTCGGGATCTTAAATGAAACTTACTACTTTTCCTTTTTTGGACAATTTTCATAAATGCAAGAAATAGCATCCTACTGTTATTTATTTGTTTGTTATAGCATCCTACTTTTATCTATTTCTATTACAACATTATACTTTAAAATAGTTGTATAGTTATAGGCAATGTCATCAAAAATATACAAAACAATTTTTACGGTTATAATTGAGTTGATTTTTCCAAGTACAATTCCTAATAAGAAAAAGACTGAAAGTATAATATGCTATAATTGGATAGATTTTCAAAGTAGGTCTTAATAAGAAAAGAAAAAAGGAAAGTAGAGTGTTGTAATAAACAAATAAATGAAGGTACACTGCTATTTCTTGCATTTAGCCCTCTAAGTCAAAATTACCCATTTTGGCCATTATCATTATAAGCAGAATTATTGGATTGGTTTAAGTCCACATGATTCCTTTTGTTTTTTTCTTTCTTGACAAGTGTCTAAAATCATATATAACATTTTCATGGAACAAATAAAGTTATTTATGAACATTTAGCATGATCATTAACTTGTGTTGAAAGTAAGCAATTCCTATCAATTCAAAGTTGCAATGCTTTAAACCATTTCTGTTTGACAAGAGTGGTGGGGTATGAACTCTTTCAGAATCATAATCAACCTTCCAAACAAGCCTCTTAAAAACAAATAAAAATTATATGAAGATTATTGATATTGCAGGCTTATCGTTTGCAATCTAGTAAAAAGTACGATGAACTATTCGATGAGAGGTTGGAATTTAAAATCAACAAAGAAGAAGCAGAAAATGTGGTGAAAGTGGCGTTATTGTGCACAAGTGGATCTCCATCAATAAGGCCAACAATGTCTGAGGTAGTGAGCATGCTTGAAGGCATAACATGTATCCCAGAAATAACCCCGGAAGTAGGTCGCTATTTTGAAGATTTGAGATTCCAAACAATGAGGGATGGAAATCAGGTTGGACACACAGGAAGTAGCATCAACACTCAATATTCGGCTACTGTTAAGAGCGATACACGTTTTTTGACTACATCTTCAAATGATCGTTTTGAAGTGGTATCTGTTGACACAAGATCATTCTAAAAGTTAATTTGATCTTGTCATCGTGTTTTTTGATTTGTAGCAACATGTAAAGGTATAGTTGCTCCGTTGTATAACTTATGAATATGAATTATGAGCTTTGTATGTGTCAATTGTGTATAAATAACATTATGTCATGGTTTTAGTCTTTTTGAAAGTTATTTGGCCACTTATTTGTTTTAATTTGAAATGCTGCAAATACTATTAGAATGACAACTTCTTAAATCTTAAAGGACTTGCTACGACTTCACGGAGCCGACGAGTGCCTTTGACTTGTATTGGACCGGATATAAATAGATATACATTGTTATTTTTATTTTAAGAGAAAATGCAAATATAGATGTACATTTTCAAAGTTTTTGGTCATTTTAGGAGGTTTTCCTTGTGGATTTGGTCCCTGTTAAAACAAAATGACTAATTCATTTTTTAGTTACTCCTTTTATAATGTTTTTCATTTAATTTTATTTATTTAACATGTAAAATAGAAAACGACCCCACGCCATCCACCACCACCCTACTTCATTTTCTCCGTTTCTCCCCCTCCCGAACACACTCTCACAACCACAACCCCGTCTACACCGGTAAATCAAACATCACCACTACCACCGATGTGTAATTTCTATCGGTTTTAAATTTATAAATGTTATCACTTGAAGACTATTACACAAGTAGACAAATGTACCTCATTGTATCGTATTATAGTTAAGGAAAAAACGGGTTGTCGAAATCTTGAGGAACAGTAAAGCCAATAAGAAAACTTAATTAATGAAAAATCAATAAAAAAAGCAATTAAAATGGGAATTTGATTTTAAAACTGCTAGCAGTCAATATGCACAACGAATATAGAAAACAAAGATTAAAAAAAAAATACTTTCACTTAGATTCGATTCACCTAGCCATCATGATGGATTCATATAAAGTGCAATGGTTATTGATTAGAGTTCAATGATTCCTATATTGGTTAGATCTCTTGGTCTGATCACTAAGCCTATGGTATTAAGGAATTGAATTACAATGTTCATGTTAACTAGTCATCTCTAATTTAGTTATTAAGTTCATATTATGTAGGACTTAATCTGGTAATTGATCTCAATGGTCATGATAATTAAGTATATACTGTAACATCCCAATTTTCAAGTCCAAAAATTTCTTTTTAATTAACCGACTCATAAAAACATTCATAAGAAAATACTGTGAAAACACATCATCTCATAAAACAATGTATCATGTCTGAAAACCCAAGTCATAAAATAATAACATATCAGAGTACAATCCCACAAAACTTCATGCGGAAATCATGTGTGTGTGATGCGCTGCTACACTACCGGCTCCTTCCCCTTAGACGAAGAGGTACCTGAAACCAAAACTAAAACTGTAAGCACAAAGCTTAGTGAGTTTTCCCCATCATACCACATACCATACAATATCATCGGTATCTTTCAACCGGTAATCATCATCGGTATCTTTCAACCGGTAACTGTCATCGGTATCTTTCAACCGGTAACTGGGGACTATCCCACCCCCTACCACTAGCATACAACAACAAGATATAGCATACAGTCAGGCATATCCGGGTACTGACCTACCCTTCGGTCCTAAGGACCGCTGTCAGGGAAACTAATCCCTACTATACACGTAACATATCATACAGATAAAACTCATGACCAAAGCACGTAACCAGACCAAGATAATCATCACAAAGACAATCATCTTCTAAATACTCCTCTTTGGTGGGCCAGAATTGTGGCCTTAGACCCACCCCTACTGAAGGTAACTCACCTCGTACGAGAAACTGCTGATAAGCTGTGTGGGAAACCTCCGTCCGCTGCTGCTCCGGAAATCCTCCGGCTACAATCCCCACAAAACACTCAGTTAGAAA